GGTCCCGACCCCTTCCTCAGGCGATCGTGCTTCGTCCTGTGCCCACTCCTGATGGCCCCAGGGCCCGATGGTGCGCCCCAGATGCCCCCGAGGCCGAGATCGAGGAAAAGCGCCCAGAGCGACGAGTCACACCTCATCTCGTCGAGATGGGCTCCGCGCCTTCCTGCGATAGGCGCCTCGCCCCCCTCTGCGCACTCCTGCAGCCGTTCGCTATGGCTGCGCTCTGCCTCTTCGGCGGGAGCGGCAGTCGCTGACCCCTCCCCGGCCTTGGTGGGGCCCTCACCCCACCCGCCTCGTGGCGGTGGTGTAGGGGCCAGGGGGCGTCCTCCTTCTTCGGATTGAGGACGCTGGGATCAGTGACGTGCCTCTCTCATCCCCCCCACCCCACCCCGCACGTCGTGCTTACCAACACGTATCATTTTCCACTGGTTCTCGCATTACCCCTGCAATGCACGATCGAAGGGGCTGCTGCTGAAAGACCAGTAACGAGTGCAATTCGACGTGCTCAAGCTGGGCCCTCCCTTCTCCCCCCATCCGCTCCGGCAAGAGCCATGGGCCACGGTGCCGAGACGTGCTGGCCCTGGAGCCGAGGGAGCCTACTTACCACAGAGCAGCGCCTTCGCCGCTATAGGAGCATATTCTGGCAGGGGCTTCCTAACTGATGGGCCAAGTGTTGCAGAAACTAGGGGTTCCTGCAGATGCGAACCCTCCTCCTCAGAAATCGTGGGGGGTAGGGGCAGGGTTCGCATCTGGCCCCCTAGAAACGACGTTTCCTCCGCGCCCTTCGCCAGGCTCCGCGGACGACCCGTGCGCACCGCACCGCGCGGGCGCCTTTTTTTTCGAGGGGCCGTCGACCCTCGACCCGGGACGGATCGTGCTTTTTGTTGCGGCCCCCGGGAGCCGACAGCGTCCGTGCACCGTACCGCGTTGGGAGCGGGGCCTGGACTGGTGGGCCTGTTTTCCACCACCACCACCATGAGTTGGAGGGGGAGGGGGTCCTCCTCCTCCTCCTCCTCCTCCTCCTCCTCCTCCTCCTCCTCCTCCTCCTCCTGCTTCCCCCCTCAAACTTATGGTGGTGGTGGTGGTGGAAAGCAGGCCCATCATGGACGGCGTCCAGGCGTGGCACGGCGCACTCGAGCAGGGGAGGTCGACTACAGAGCTGCTCTGCCACAGCATGGACGTGTTCGTCGAGCCTACGAGCAGTACGTGGAGCGCTCCGCCGAATAGTCAACAACACCTTCCTTCGCAGATACGACGGCAGACCGATTCTGGGGTAGATCAAGTCTGTAGTCGCTCCCCTGCAGGATCCGGCTTGAACAAGGAACACTTGCTTTTCCAAAAGGGCTCGGTGGGTCCTTTGGTCTGCATGCGTTCCGCTATCTTTTTGGCGGCGAGCCCCCCGGGTGTTCCTGCAGATTCTGGACGCGCAGGTTCGTTTTGTCGATGAGGGCGGCTGGCCTAAGGAACGGGGCTCCAAGAGGGGCCCGGTTCCCTGCGCTTGCTCGACGTAGTGTTAAGTCGGGCGTGTCCCTCTACAGGTGGCATAATCAAAAATAGTAAAAAATAGTCTGGGGACGATTTGTTGGACTATTTTTGAATATTTTGGGGGCATTTCTTGCGTACTTTTCATTCTTCGCCCAAAATCCCCCTGTAGGGGGACACGCCCGACTGAAACGTAGTGCGACGGCGGCCGCGTACGAGCCCGGTGCCTCTCTCGGGCCCTCCCGTTCCTTGCGGGGCGCGCGTTGGAGCTTTCGCCCCCATCTGATCGTAGCTCTGCACCAAGGGCGCCCTCCAGGGCGCGAAGTGATTCGCGCTTCGCGCTTCGCGGTTCGGCTCCGATTCCTCCTTCTCCTCCTCCTCCTCCTCCTCCTCCTCCTCCTCCCCTCCTCCCCTGGGAGGCGGCACGAGAGCGCGAAGCTGTTCGCACTTCGCGCTTCGCCGAAGCGCGAAGCGCGAAGTTGTGAGCCCTTGTCTTATCATGGTTCTGTACTCGATGCGTGGGCGCCGCTCTCGTACAAGCCGCGCCGCGAGCCCGCCTGCAGCGGGCAGCCGCCTGGCGACGGGGCCGCGCGTGCCCGCCGCCTCGCCCTCGGCGCCGCCCGCCCTTCCTGCCCGCCTCCGCCCGCTGCCCGCGGCAGGTCGGCGCGAGGAGGCGAGGAGGGGCAACGCTAGGGGGGGGAGAGGCTCGAAGGGTCGAATGTCACTTCCCATATTTTCCATATTCTCTTGGGAATCGATGATTATCAGTGTCTGTGGGTGTTTCTTCCTTTTTTTTTGTGTGTGTGTGTGTGTGTGTGTTCTCCACCTCCTGAAAGAAGCGCGACGGGAAAGTCCGTTGTTCGGGGGTTCGGGGGGACAGGTTCAGGAAGGTCTTTGGTGGTGCTCGAGCGTTTCCGTAGCCCAGGGTGGTCTCCATCGCCTGCACGTCGTCGAGGGCGTCCCGGGGGTGCCGGAACCGTTCCCAACGGCGGTCGGAGCGCGGAGATTTGACCCCCCAAACCAAAGGGCACCATTGGGGGGGAGATGTCCGGAGGGGAAGCATCGACCCCCAATCGCCCAGTACATCGCCGACAGGGGCCCGGGAGCTGGACCTGGCCCAGGAGTGCGGATTCGCCATCGGGAGCCTGTGTCCGACCTATCGGCGACGTATCGCCGATTCCAGGTGGATGTTCCCCCTCCCTGAAGCAGTCACTCCCTATCGTTGCCCCTCAGGGGTGGAGGGAGGAGGCGAGGAGGGCGGGAGGAGAGAGGAGACGGGGCGAGCTAGGCGCGCGCGCGTCATATATGGCGCCATATATCTCTCCCTCCTTTCCCTTACCATTGCGTCGAGCCCCTCTCTATTGGAGAGGCCTGACGGCCGGTGCCGCCGACCCTGATCGAAGGGACTAGGAGGGGGAGGAGGAAGCGGAGGAGGAGGAGGAAGAGGAGGAGGAGGAGGAGGAGGACAGGGACGAGCACGAGGACGAGGAGGAGGAGAATGAGGACGAGGAGGAGGAGGAGGAGGTGGAGGAGGAGGAGGCGGAGGAGCGGGAGGATTCGCAGGAGAAGAGAAGGAGGTGGAGGGGGAGGAGGGGGAGGTGGACAAGGGAGGAGGAGGAGGAGGAGGAGCAGGATGGAGGAGGAACAGGGAGGAGCAGCGAGGAGTCAGGAGGTGCAGGAGGGGAGGATGAGCTGGGAGTGGTTGCGAGGAGGAGGAGGAGGAGAGGAGGAGGGGGAGGAGGAGGAGAGGAGGAGGAGGAGCAGGAGGTGGAGGAGGACAAGGACGAGGAGGAGGAGGAGGGGGAGGAGGAGGAAAAGGAGGAGGTGGAGGAGGAGGAGATTAGGAAAAGGAGGAGGAGGAGGAGGAGCAGTTGGAGGAGGAGGAGCAGGAGGAGGACGAGAAGGAGGACGAGGAGGAGGAGGCGGCGGAGGAGGAGGAGCAGAAGTAGGAGGAGGATGAGCAGGAAGAAGAGGAGAAGAAAGGAAGAGGTGAAGGAAGGAGGATTTGGAGGTGGAGGAGGAAGAGGAGGAGGAGGCAGAGAAGGAGGAGGAGGAGGAACAAGGTGAGGATGATGATGATGATGATGATGATGATGATGATGATGATGATGATGATGCTGATGATGATGATGATGATGAGGATGAGGATGAGGATGAGGATGAGGATGAGGAGGAGGATGAGGATGATGATGATGATGATTAGGAGGAGGAGGAGGTGGAGGAGGTAAGAAGGAGCAGGAGTAGGAAAAGAGGACAAGGATGATGATGATCATGATGATGATGCTGATGATGATGATGCTGATGATGATGATGAGGATGAGGATGAGGATGAGGACAAGGATGATGATGCTGATGATGATGATGATGATGACGATGATGATGATGATGATGATGAGGATGCTGATGCTGATGCTGATGAGGATGATGCTGCTGATGATGATGATGAGGATGATGATAATGATGATGATGCTGCTGATGATGATGCTGATGATGATGAGGATGCTGCTGCTGATGATGATGATGATGATGATGATGATGATGACGATGATGATGATGATGATGATGATGATGATGATGATGATGATGATGATGATGATGATGATGATGATGATGATGATGATGATGATGATGATGATGATGATGATGATGATGATGATGATGATGATGATGAGTAGGAGGAAGAGAAGGAGAAGAGAAGGAGGAGGGGGAGGAGGAGCAGGAGGAGGAGGAGGAGGAGGAGGAGGAGGAGAAGGGGGAGGAGGATGAGGACGAGACCTCCTCGCGACGCCCTCCTGGGGCTCGTGGCTGTGGGGGGGGTGGGCCCGGGTCCCCCTCGGGACCCCCCTGGGACCCCCCGGGGCCCCCCCCGGGTCCGCCCCCCCACCCCCCCCCCGCACCGGGGAAGGGAACAGGGAAGGAGCGTCCCTTCGAAGCATTGACGACGTTCAATCAGTTGCTTGGCACGGCATGTGCAAGGAAGAGGACTATGCTGACGGAGAGCGGGAGAACGTTGAGTGGAAGCTGGATGCGGCTAGAGAAAGTCGAGCAGGAAAGAAAGCACGACGCGAACGGAACGGAGAAGCCCCTCACACAACGCCGACAGGGTCGGCGGATTCGCGGAGTCGGGCGTCGAAGGAGACATTGGCCCCGAAAGGGTAGACGCTGCACGCTATCACATGGCATAGCATGGCGAATGAGAACCACGCCAGGGCGCAGCATTGCCTAGCCTGGTGTGGCATTGTGTAGCTAAGCATTGCATGCCATGGCATTGCATAGCGAGGCACGGCATCGCATAGCGGCGCAAAGCATGGGACGACGTTGCATACTTGGATATGGCGACGCATACGATAAACTGGTATGGCATTGCGTAGCCAAGCATTGCATACCATGGCGTAGCAGAGCAAGGCTGGGCATCACGTAGCGGCGTCGCATAGCGGACATGACGTCAGTGATGCAGCGAGAGCACCTGTGAGACGTACAAGACGCGGGACAAAGGCCAGCGCCGAAGCGGGAGCATCATTCCTCATTGCCGAAGACGCGGAATGAGGCCAACGCTGCAGCGGGAGCACAATTGAGACGGATTGAGTACGTAGAAATGGGGAGCGTGTTGCAGCGGGAACGCCATTTTGAGGAATTGAGAATGCGGGAATGGAGCCAAGACTGCAGCGGGAACAGCACTTTTGGAGGACCGAGGATGGTCGGGTTGGAACAACATGGAAGACGCATCACGGTTGGGGAACCCTGTGTGTAAAACAGTATTGTGCAGAGGGGGGCGCGATACCCTCAATTCGCCCGCGCGGGAGAGAGGAGTGTCGTAATCATATCGTGTAGTTGTGGGAAGAGGAGGAAGAGGAGGAGGAGGAGGAGGAGAAGGAGGAGGAGGAGGAGGAGGAGGAGGAGGAAAGGGAAGGAGGGAGGGAGGGAGGGAAGGGAGGGAGGGGAGGAGGAGGAGGAAAGAGAGGAGGAGGAGGAGGAGGAGGAGAGGAGGAGGAGGAGGAGGAGGAGGAGGAGGTCTCCGTCGATTCAACTCCGCGCCCTTGGCCCCTTGATCGGTGCTCTCAGGGTCACTTGGCCCTGGGGCTGGCAGTCGTCGACCTCTCACGCCACCAGGTTCCAGATTCAAGGTGGAGGGGGCCGGGGGCCAAAGAGGAGGAGGAGGAGGAGGAGGAGGAGGAGGAGGAGGAGGAGGAGGAGGGGACGAGGAGAAGAAGGAGGAGGGGGTGGAGGAGGCGGAAGGGAGAAAAAGGAGGATGGGGGGCGAGGAGGAGGAGGAGGCGGGGAGCAAGAGGCGGCGGAGAGGAAGTGGAGGAGGAGGAGGAGGAGGAGGAGGAGGAGGAGGTTGGAGGAGGAGAACGAGGAGGATGAGGTGGGTGGTGGTGGTGGTTGGGGAGAAGGAGGAGGAGGAGGAGGAGAGGAGGAGGAGGAGGAGGAGGAGGAGGAGGCGGAGGAGGTGTCCGAGGGGGAGGAGGAGGAGGAGGAGGAGGGGGAGGAGGAGGCGGAGGAGGAGGAGGAGAGGAGGAGAGGAAGGAGGAGGAGGAGGAGGAGGAGGAGGAGGAGGAGGAGGCGGAGGAGGAGGAGGAGGAGGAGGAGGAGGAGGAGGAGGAGGGGGAGGGGAGGGAGGGAGGGAGGGAGGGAGGGAGGGAGGGAGGGAGGAGGAGGAAGAGGGGGAGGAGGGGAGGAGGAGGAGGAGGGGGAGGAGGAGGAGGAGAGGAGGAGGAGGAGCAGGTGGAGGAGGAAGGGAGCATGATGAGGAGGAGGAGGGTGAGGAGGAGGAGGAGGTGTTCGAGGAGGAGGAAGAGGAGGAGGAGGGGAGGAGAGGAGGGGAGGAGGAGGAGGAGGAGGAGGAGGAGGAGCAGGGGGAGGAGGAGGAGGAGGAGGAGGAGGAGGAGGATGAGGAGCAGGAGGAGGAAGACAAAGAAGAAGACGAAGAAGAAGAAGAAGAGGAGGAGGAGGAGGAGGGAGAGGAAGGGAGGATGATGAGTAGGAGGCGGTGGAGGAGGAATCCTACTAGACAACAGGAAGAAACGAAGGAAGGAAGGAAGGACGGAAGGAAGGAAGGAAGGACGGAAGGATGTAATGAAGGATGGACTGAAGGACTGAATGAATGAAGGAAGGCGAGACGGAACGAAGGACGTGATGAAGGACGGCAGGAAGGACGGAAGGAAGGACGAACGGGAGATGAGGATGATGAGGATGCTGATAAGGATGTTGCTGCTGATGATGATGATGAGACCGATGCTGATGCTGGTGCTGATGCATCTGATGATGCTGATTGATGATGGTGCTGATGCTGATGCTGGTGATGCTGATGTTGATGATGAGGATAAGGATGCTGATGTTGCTGCTCCTGATGATGATGCTTATGCTGATGCTGATGATTATGCTGATGATGCTGATGCTGACGATGCTGATGATGCTGCTGATGATGATGGTGCATATGCTGCTGATGATGATGATGTTGATGCTGTCAGATGATGAGTATGCTGATGCTGATGATTATGCTGGTGCTGTTGATGCTGCTGATGATGATGCTGCTGCTGATGCTGCTGATTATGATGGTGATGCCGATGCTGGTGATACTGATGATGCTGCTGATGCTGCTGCTGCTGCTGATGATGATGCTGATGTTGCTGATGATGATGATGATGCTGATGCTGATGATGATGATGCTGACGATGATGATGCTGCTGAGAAGAAGAGGAGGAGGAGGAGGGAGGAGGAGGAGGAGGAGGTGGAGGAGGAGGAGGAGGGAGGAGGGAGGAGGGAGGGAGAGGAGGAGGAGGCGGAGGAGGAGGAGTGGAGGAGGAGGAGGACGAAGGGGAATGAAAAGGACGGTGGAGGATGAGTGGAGGAGAAGGAGGACGAACAATGTGAGGAGGAGAAGGAGGATGGAGGCGGAGGAGGAGGAGGTGGAGGAGGATGAGGGGGATGGAGGAGGAGGAGGAGGAGGAGGAGGAGGAGGAGGAGGAGGAGGAGGAGGAGGAGGAGGAGGAGGAGGAGGAGGAGGAGGAGGGAGGAGGGAGGAGGGAGGAGGAGGAGGAAGAGGAGGAGGAGGAGGAGGAGGAGGAGGAAGGAGGTAGGAGGGAGGAGGCAGAATGGAAGACAGATGAGGGAGGAGGGAGGAGGGAGGAGGGAGCAGGTAGTAGGGAGGGTGGAGACGGGAGGAGGGAGGAAGGAGGAGGGAAGAGGGAGGAGGGAGGAGAGAGGAGGGAGGAGGAGGGAGGAGGAGGAGGAGGAGGAGGAGGAGGATGTGGACCAGTGTAAGCCCAAGAGCCATCAACGATGTTGGAATATATCCTCCCTCCAAGCTGCATCTCCATATGCCCATACAACGGTTCATTTCAACGGAGGGAACTGCCTCGTTGGAAGACAACCGTTTTGAAGGCCCTGGGACATGCCAAAACATTGTGCTCGGGATTACAACACCATGGATCAACCTGACTTTTGCGTCTTGACGATCCGAACTCGTGCCAGAACGCTGCTCCGGGGACTTCAGCATCGCGAATCAGAGTAACGGTTGCACCCTCATTATCCAGAATCCTCCCACAAGTTATTTTTGGTACGCTGATCATGGGAATATGTGAAACACTTGCGAATTTAGAAAGGGATGTGCGCGGTGCTGAGACGAGAGCCACCGCCCTCGATCCGTAAAACTTTTGCAAGTTTTGAAAACGAATGTGCGCGGCGCTTAGGCGAGTGACACACTTTGAACAGGACCCGCACTCACTCCGTGAAACTCCCTGCAAAGTTTGATAACGAATGTGCGCGGCGGTAAGGCGAGAGCCGGCATTTTGAAAACGACCCGCCCTCAATCCGTGAATTTCTTGCACTACTTTTCTGGAAAACACGAATATGCGCGGCGCCAAAGCGAGAGCCACATGTTGTCTGGAACTCTTGCCAAGTTTTGCGCTTCAGGGTGAGAAGTGATGAAGAAGTCTGAGGCGAAACGCCCGACCCGCCCTAAAAACTTGCCTCGGGGTGCGACACGGATAATTTATTTACAAGGAAGATGAAAGGTGGAGGCGGAGGAGGATGAGGAGGCGGAGGAGGAGGAGGAGGAGCAGGAGGAGGGAGAGGGGGAGGGGGAGGAGGAGGAGGAGGAGGAGGAGAAGGAGGAGGAAGCGGAGGAGTAGGATGAGGAGGAGGCGGAGGAGGAGGATGAGGCGGACGAGGAGGAGCAGCAGGAGGAGGAAGGAGTAGGAGGAGTAGGAGGCAGGAGCAGGAGGAGGAGGAGGAGGAGGAGGAGGAGGAGGAGGAGGCAGGAGGAGGAGCGGAGAAGCAGGAGGAACGGAGGAGGAATAGGAGGAGGAGGAGGAGGAGGAGGAGGAGGAGGAGGAGGAGGAGAGGACGAGGAGGAGCAGCAGGAGGAAGCGGAGGAGGAAGAGGAAGGAGGAGGAGGAGGAGGGAGGAGGAGGAGGAGGAGGAGGAAGGGAGGAGGAGGAGGTTGAGGAGGAGGCGGGGAGCCAAGGAGGTGTGCAGCCGGCGCCCTGCGGGCCCTCCCGCGCCATGACGCGCCCGCGGGGCGTGGCCGCCTTCGGCGGCCCGCAGCCCGGCCTGCAGGAGCAGCTGCGCGAGGCGCCGCCGCCGCCGCCGCCAGGCGTCGTCGACGACACCGTCGCCGCCGCCGCCGCCGCCTATCGCCGCCGCCGCCGCCGCCTATCGCCGCCGCCGCAACCGCCGCCGCCCCCGCCGTCGTCGCCGCCGTCGTCGTCGTCGTCGTCGTCGTCGTCGTCGTCGTCGCCGTCGTCTTCGCCGTCGTCCTCGCCCTTGCCCCCGCCGTCGCTGTCCTCGCCGTCGTTGTCCTGGCCGTCGCCGCCCACCGCCGTTGTCCTCGCCGTCGCCGCCGCCGCGCTGCATTGTTGGTGATACCGGGCGTCGTCGTCCAGCGTCGGGTCCCAGGGCCCTCGCAGTATGCCCTGGCCCGAGAGGTGCCGCAGGCAGATGTGGTCTTGGGCCCCGGCCCAGCGGCTCCGTTTTTTCCCGAAGGTCGCTTTTCAGGGTCGTCGTGATTGTTAAGTCGGGCCTGTCCCCCTACAGGGAGATTTTCGACGAAAAATAAGAAATATCCCAAACATAACCCCCAAAACTTCAGGATACTCAAAAAATAGCCCCCACACTATTTTTGGATTATTTTTTGATTACGTTTTGGGTATTTTTTATTTTTTGTCGAAAATCCCCCTGTAGGGGGACGGGCCCGACTTACCGTTATTGTCATATCGTCGCCGCCGCTGTCGTCGTTGCGTCGTTGCGTCGTTGCGTCGCCGTCGTCGTCGTCGTCGTCGTCGTCGTCATCGTCGGTGATTGTTCGAATCGCACAGGATTTTGTGAAGACCGATTCTTGGGCTTATGCCGGACCGCCGACCCCTTGTGGAACTGGCGGTTGTTGCGTCTTGCTCCTGAGGGCCTCTTGTGATCCTTTTCGGGGCTTCCTGGAGCTCTTTTGGGGCTTTATCGGGGCCTTTGGAGGGCCTTTTCGGGGCCTATTGGGCTGACATTCTCAGTATTCGCCGTGCACGCATGGGGAATTGGGCGAGAAGCCGTGTATACAGACGGAGGGCATCTGTCAAAGCATCCGACACATCCCGCACATCCCGCCACCGTGCTTGGGTTGCGGGTCTGAGGCCACTCGAATGGCTGATGGGGTCTCATGGGAGGCGTCCCGGGGGCGTCTTCTCCTTCTCCTGCCCTCCCTCCTCCTCTCCTCTTCTCTCCTGCTTCTCTCCTCGCTCCTTCCTGCGTGACAGCTTGCCTCCTACTTGGCCATCCCTGGGGGACTGCGATCTGCGACACTGTCTTTAGAGGGCTGCTGGGGGGTCCAGCGGAGCGACGTCTGACTTCGACTCAAATGAGATCTCGCCATCCCTCGGGGGCTGCGATCGTTGAAACTGGCGCCACTTTCGAGGGCTGCTGGGGGGATCAGCGGAGTGACATCTTACCCAGACCACCAGGAGACCTCGCCTTCCCTGTGGGGCTGCGAGCTGCGACACTGTCGCCACTTTCGAGGACCTCTGGGGGACCCAGCGGAGTGACGTCTTACCCAGACCACCAGGAGACCTCGCCATCCATTGGGGGCTGCGATTTGCGAAACTGCAGCCACTTTCGAGTGCTGCTGGGGGGTCCAGCGGAGAGACGTCTTACCCAGACTCAGATGAGACCTTGCCATCCTTGTGGGGCTGTGATCATTGAAACTGTCGCCACTTTGGAGGGCTGCAGGGGGGGGCCCAGCGGAGTGACGTCTTACCGAGATTCAGATGAGACCTCGCCATCTGTGTGGGGCTGCGATCTGTGAAATTGTCGCCACATTCGAGGGCTGCCGTGGGGTCCAGCGGAGTGACGTCTTACGCGGACCACCAGGAGACCTCGCCATCCCTTGGGGGCTGCGATCTGCGACACTGTCGCCACTTTAGAGGGCTGCTGGGTGGTCAAGCGGAGTGACGTCTTACGCGGACCACCAGGAGAGCTTGCCATCCCTGGGGTCCAGCGGAGTGACGCCTTGTTTTGCTACCCTTGGGTTGTTTCAGTTCCAGGGTCGTCAGAGTCCTGGCGGGGGTGCAGGGATAGCTTGTGAGTGGTCCAGATGCGGCGGAGGAGGAAGGAGGAGGAGGAGGAGGAGGATCAGGAGGAGGAGAGGAGGAGGCGGAAGAGGAGGAGGAAGGGGAAGATGATGTGGAGGTGAGAATGAGGAGGACGAGTGGATTGGAGCAACCCAAGAGGCGGACCATGTCAGGGCGCCATGGGCCAACCGTGAGAGCAGGAGTCGGCTCGAGCACTCATTGGCTCACGAACCACCCCAGCGCCCCATCACGGCTGGAGTCCGCGCGGGCTCGTCCAGACTCTGTTGCTGGAGGCGGCGAGGTTAACCGCGGAGACGCGCAAAACGAGGGCTGCGGGCGTCTAGAGCCGATGCCCGCGACTAGTGTGCGAGGCGGCAAAAACACAAATAACGCAGCGCAGCTAAAAGCGTTCTAACGATTTCGAGGCCTCGCGTAGCGACACGCCGCTCTCAGTCGTGCCGCCCCGATAAGCCACCCGAGGGGCACCACTCTCCCTCGGGGACAACTCGCCCCCACGCACGCCACGGCGGGGGACCGTGACCGTGGGAGGAATGGGCGGGGATCCTCCAATGAACCCCCCCCCGCACAGGGGACCCGCGACACCGCCCGAACCCTGGCGGAGTACCAGGTGGGCCACCGCAAGAGTGTCGCAGCAAAACGTGGCAGAAACCCACTACCCAGGCACGGGAACACGGAAGGAAAGGCCGCGCACTGGGATCTTGGACTATCCCCGCCCGCCGCACTGGCGAGTCGGGAACAGCCCCGAGGTCCCAGGCACGACGCTTCCCCCGTGGCGCAGGCTAGGACGGCCTACGACTACCTTTTTCTCTCCCCCAGGGTCCCGAAAGAACACCTGGGGTGACGATCGGGAGGCTACCCGCCTGTTTTCCTGGGGAGGGATCCCAGTGGCACAGGTGCCAGAGGAGGAGGACGAGGAGGAGGAGGAGGAGGACGAGGAGGAGGAGGAGGAGGAGGAACCGGGGGAGGAGGTCCGGCGCGTGCTGCCGCGGCGGCGCCAGCGCGGGTCATGCACTAATTCTAAGCTGTTTTTTTGTTTTCCGCGCGCCGCGGCGACATGGCGCAGGCAGCGCTGCATCCTTAGCGTACCACCGACAAAAGCAACACTTGCCGGTCTCCTCCCGTCACTGTCGCCGTCGTCCGCCTGCCACCTTCCCTCGACTGCTGCCGCGTTGGCGGTTCGGCCCCCCGCGCGTCCTCCTCCTGCCCTTCGTTCCGGCCCCCATGTCCTGCTGAAGCCGAGGCCCTCGCTCCTCGTCCGTCTGTTGTTGTCCTGTACTTCGCGCCACGTGAGCGCCTCCCACGTGGTCTGCACAGCATATAGCGGTGCCTGCGCTGTCAATATCGTGGCAAGTTTGGGCCACCGGATCTTGCCACTTGATGCACGTTGGTTGGGCACGTCACAGGTTAACTGGCACGCGTGGGGGATCGGGCGAGAGCCCGCGTATACAGACCGAGGGCATCTGTCAAAACACCCGACGAATGATTATCGAATGGCCTTCGGCGCATCCCGCCACCGTGCTTGGGTTGCGGGTTTGAGGCCGCTCGGATGGCTGATGAGGTCTCGTGGGATGCGTCTCGGGGGCGTTTTGGAGGCAGCTTTTGAACCTCTTGGGGGCCTCCTGGGGGCCTCTTGCTGGTTTTTTGTGGCCATCTTAGGGATCCCCGGGGGCCTGTTGGGGGATCCTTGGGGCAAGCCGGAGGCGTCTTGGGGTGGAGAGAGGGAAACATCTCACGCGCCGATGAACCCCAAGGGGTCGGCGGATTGTGGCCTCTTGGGGGAGCCGCTTCAGGGCCTGCGGGCCGTCAAAGATTGAACCCATAACTGCAAATCCTGGGTTTTGATGGATCGCCAAAGGGCCCCCAGGGACAGATTTTGAGCAGATTTCAGGGTTGGAGTTGTCGTCGTCGGCGTCGTCAATCGATCGAGCTTCGAGAATGGAGGTCTGCGTGCAAGTGCCCGTTCCTTTCACAGCAATGCCTGCTGGTCGGCCCTTCAAAACACCAGCGCGCCCCCGCGCACTCCAGGAGCTGGGGCTTGGGCCTTGGTAGCGCAAGGTTGCATGCCTCGCCCTTGACCGTGTCGAAAGAGGAAGAGCTGCACAACATCAGCCTTTGGAGTTTCGTGAGGATCCCCTGGGGTCAGCGCTGCACCCACTCCTGGGCGCGGCGGAACCCGCGCCAGGGGCGGCCCCGGAGGCGCATACTGCTCTCGCGCGTGCGCCTGCGCACACGCACGCACACACACACGCACACACACACACACATACACAGCCACGCACACACTCGCAGCACACACACACACACGCACACACACAGGTATACATACCCACACACCCAACACAACACACACACAACACACACACACGTACACACACGCACACGCACAGCACACACGCACACACGCACACACACACACACCCACACGAACTCGCACCCACACACACACACACGCACACACACACACACACGCACACAATGCACACACACACGCACACACATACACATGCACACACACACACACCCGCACACACGCATACACACCCACACACACACGCACACACACACACACGCGCACACACAGATACGCACACACACAGACACCCACGCACACACTCAAACACACACACACACACCCACGCAGACACACACAGCACACACACACACACACCCGCACACACACACACACACGTACACGCACATCAAACCCACGCACACACAACACAATACGCACGCACACACACACATTTTCGCACAGCCCCCCCCCACACACACACACACATATTCACACACATCACACACATCACACACATTCACGCACACGCACACACACACACGCACATAACGCTCACACACACCCATACACACACGCACGCACATTTACCCACGCACACACGCACACACTCATACACGCTCGCGCACACATAATCACCCACACACACACACTCAACACAACACACACACACACCAACACACACACACGCACACATATCCACACACACACGCACACAAACAATACAACAAGACACACACGCACACACACACACACATCCACGCACCCACACACACACACGCGCACACATACACACATACAACACACACACACCCACACACACACACACACGCACACACGCACACGCACACAAACCCACGCACACACAACACGCACACTCACACACCCACGCACAATATAGCACACACACACACCCTCACACACAACACACAACACGCACAACACACAACACACAAGACAGCACACACAACACACACCACATACACAGCACACACAACATACAGCACACACGCAACATACCAACACACAACACACCACCCAACACACAACACGCACAACGCACAACGCACAGCACACACAACACACAGCACACGCCATACGCAACACACACTTCGAAACTCACGACACACACTACACACTACATAGACACAACACACACAAAGCACAACACACAACACACAACACACATCACACAGCATACACAACACACATTGCACAACACACAACACACAACACACAACGCACAGCACACACACAACACACTCAACTCACAACACACAACACATAACACACAACACACAACACACGCAGAACACACAACACACAGTACACAATACACAACACACACAACACGCAGCACACACATAGCACACACAACACACACAACGCATAACGCACAACACACACAATACACAACAAACAGCATACAACACACAGCACGCACACACACACACACGCACGCACACACACACACACACTCGCGCACACTCGCGCACACTCGCGCGTAGTAGGCGCGGCGGCAACGGCGCGGCAGGTCGCGGAGAGCATGCGGCTCCAGGGTCGCAGCCGCGCGGAGGTGGACGCGGCGCTCGTCGGGGCGAACCGTCGGTGGGGGGGCAGTGCCGCGCGGGTTTCGCCGTGAAGGGAGCGCGGGTCCGGAGCGAATGGGCTCACGGAGCTCTCCCCCGGTGTTCGGGCTGCCGGGGCCCCGCTCGGTCTCGGGCCTCGAGGGCGCTGGGATGTCGGGCTGCCGGGGCCCCCCTCTTGGCGCCGAGGGCGTCGGGAAACGAGTCGGGTTGAAAGCAAGTCGGTTCTGGGGAAAGCCTGTAGGGTCCAAGACCCGTCTCCTCCTGGTCTTGTTTCTTTCATGCTAGCAGGTGGCGTCGTCGGGGGAGAAAGAGGAGGAGGAGGAGGAGGAGGAGGAGGAGGAGGAGGAGGAGGAGGAGGAGGAGGAGGAGGAGGAGGAGGAGGAGGAGGAGGAGGAGAGGAGGAGGAGGAGGAGGAGGAGGAGGAGGAGGAGGAGGTGTTAACATGTGAGCATTCAGGTGACTGGGGAGTGAAGGTGTCCCCGTTACCGTTTGGCTCAAGTATTTAATGGCTGAAGCTACCGAGACTTGCTTCGCCGCGCTGAGGTAAAAAGGTGACCGATCGTCATCGCTGTCACCGAGCTCCCGTGCAGAACCCTCCTCGGGGTTTTGCATGGCAGCGGAGCGCGGTTGCCATGGCGGCGGCGGCGGCCGCTGCAGCTAGGCCCGCGCAGGGCGACCCGCCGGTCAACCTTAACGTGCCGGCGGACAGAGATGCATGGGTCAACATGGACCCTAACCGCTTCAACGACCTGTGCGAGCAGGCGTACCTGAACGGGGACTTCAGTTGCGTTCAGACGGCGTTACTTGCAAATCATTATGGACTTGCGACGTTCATTAGCGAGCGAGTAACACAGGACCGAAGGGAAGTATCGAACGTTGAGGCATTTCAAATGTTACAGAGTGCTCAGAAGACCAACAGCATGTTGTTAGCGATAACGAAGAGAAACGCTGCGCTTGAAAGGGATGCTCGCAGATTGGTAGAAAGAGTTACCGAGTTGGAGACCAACAGCGAAGTACAAGAGAAGTTAATTGAAAAGTTTGGTCAGCTTTCGGAAGCAATCAAAGGCGGAAGCAGAAGTAAGCACGGGAGCGGTAAACCGATAAGCGAGCACAAAGCATTACAGGCGTTAAAGAACTTCAGTGGAGAAAGAGCAAAGTTCAGAGACTGGAGCGACAAGTTCTTAAACGCGCTTGCCCAAGTAAAACCGAGTTACCGACCGGCACTGAAAATGTTGAACAAGAAGTTGGAGACATTTGACGGAGTTGTCCCAGAGGAAGATGATGATATCATACGCATAATGAACGGTCGGTTAACAGCAAGCGAATACTTAAAGGCAAACCAAGCTAAACAAGCAGAGGATGACAACAAAGGAGATTATGAGTTTACCGAGGGAGACAAAACTCAAATGGAGGAAGACTTATGGTACATCCTTAACGAAAAGCTTGAAGGTGCAGAAGCAAAGGGAAAATTAAAGGGACTCATGGATGGTGACGGACTTATGGCTCGGCAAAAGGTTTACAAATGGTACTCGGCTGTTACCAGAGCGACCCTTTCCTCATAGATGACGCGCGCTATGAACCCTGAGCCGCCCAAGAAAATTACCGATGCCGTTGCCCGACTTGAGGAGTGGGGCGCGTTAGCGGAGAATCTTGAAAAGTATGGCAAAGATTACTCGCTGCCCCTCCTTTTTAAGGTTGCCGCGCTCAGGGCAATAATGGTGCACGCGAACGATTGGTTTGACGAGTGGCAGCAGGCGTGTTGGCGAACGCCTGACGCACTTAACATTGACTCGTTCCAAAAATTATACTCCAAGTGTGAAGATTGGGCGCGTAAAAAGAAACTTGACTCAGACACCGAGAATAAAGATGCGATGGACATTGGAAATATTAACGAGACGAGTCAAGGGTCCGAAAATGTCTGGGATCAGACAGGATGGGTCGACGAAGATGGAAACTGGTGGCCAGAGGGCGGATCTTGGAGTTACGGGTCCTGGGCCAATGAAAGTGAAACTGGAGATCATGAGGAAGTCGACGCCGCAAACAAGGGTAAAGGCAAAGGCTCAGGCCCCAAATGTTACAATTGCGGAGGCATGGGTCATTTAGCCAGGAACTGCACAAAGCCTAAACAGTTCCACGAAAGGAGGCAAAGGTGGCAAAGGCGGCAACGGCAAAGGTTACCGTGCCACCTATGGATCTTACATGAAAGGTAAGATTGGAGGTAAACAAGGTGGTAAAGGTGGCGGCTTGTGGGGTGGAAGTTACGGTGGCCAAGGAAGATTTACCCCCCCCCACAGCGAGCGCGAATGTTACAAGTGCGGCGCTAAAGGGCACATTGCCGTTAACTGCCCAGGCCCCAAGAAGACCGCCAGCGAAGTTGAGCAAGAGAGACCAACGGTAAACGCGGAAAGTGAACAAACCACCTCGTTTGGCCAACCGCAGCATGTGCTCAGTGTTGAGATGAATGATGAAGTGAACGTGCCACCGGAACCGCCCACGGCTGAGGAGATTAACGGACAATGGGCACTGCCCTCACATTCCAGAAAGAAAATGGCGCGTCAAATCGCAGTGGACCTGAGAAAAGCTTACCAGGAGCATCAGTGCAACGGGAACTGCAATCATGTAAATCAGTGGGGCCAGAGGATAAGTAACAGCATAAAGCAGGAAAAGAGTTGGCTTGAGAAATGCGGAGAAATTGGGTTAATCGAAATGCGAGACTGTGACCCAGAAATTAACGCGGTGCCACCTCAGAGTACAACGCACGAAACAATCGTGGTTACCGTGGACTCTGGAGCGTACAACACGGTAGGACCCCCAAGAATAGGCACCTGCTTCCCCATCAAACAGACAGATGCGTCAAAGCAGGGAAGACACTACAGCGCGGCAAACGGAACGACGATAAAGAATTACGGGCAGCGAGTAGTAACCGGCAAGAATGAACATGGAAACTCAGTCAGCATGCCAATTCAAGTGGCGGAAGTCAACAAAGTTCTGGGATCTGTCAGAGAGATGGTAAACGCTGGAAGCAGAGTTGTATTCGACAAGGACCTTAACGGGAAATCCCTGAGTCATATTATGAATAAGGCCACGGGTGAATGTACGACCATCCACGAGAAGAACGGCACGTTCCAGTTTAACATCATGGTGCCGAAGGGGCCGGTGGAGGCTGTTAAGCCCAAGAGTGAGGTAAACGCAGCTGAGGGTTTTGCGCGGCCGGGAACCCTCGAGGCGGACCTGTTCTACTAAGCCCCTCATTACCCGTGAGACCAAGCGAAAACTTAAACGTCTTTAACACAACACCGAAGAAGGCGAAGGGGCTGAAAGTGGGGGCAGCGAAAGTGAGTTGAGTGACGTAGAAGACGTGTTTGTGAGTGACGAAGCAGAGTTACCGAAGAAAGTTTACTGTGACATGAGACCGTCAAAGGAGGAGGTTGAGGCGCACAATGCAACGCATTTGCCTTACCGAAGTTGGTGCCCACATTGCGTTGGGGGCAAGGCGCGTAGGCGCAATCACAGGAGACGTAAAAGGAAAAGGAACGGAGGTGTACCAGTAATTTCAATGGACTACATGTGGCTTAAAGGAAGAAAGGAAGAAGGCGAAAGTGCGAACAATGGTAACCCAATTCTGGCCATGCATTGCAGGGAAACCAAGTTAACGTGGAGCCGAGTGTTGTTGAAGAAAGGGGTGGATCCATACTCAGTAAAAGTGGGATGTGACATGATCGGCTTTACCGGACATAAGAAGGTTATACTTAAAAGTGATGGAGAAGCGGCAATTACGGCGCTGGCCAACATGATTAAAGCGTCGAGTGACCTTGACATGGGTGTTGAAGTCAGTCTTGTAGGCGATTCAAAGGCCAACGGTGAAATTGAGAGAGCTGTTAGAACGGTGCAAGGACAAGTTAGGACATTAAAGAGCGCCTTGGATGCCAATTACAAGACCGAGTTTAGTGAAAGCCATACGATTATACCATGGATGGTAAGTTATGCGTCTTCTCTGATTAACAAGTTCACGATAGATACAGATGGAAAGACAGCCCATGAAAGATGTAGGGGGAGGAAGTTTAACAAACAAATTCCTGAGTTCGGTGAATGCGTCATGTATTTAAAGACGCCTGCGCACAAAGGCCGTGAAAAGCTTGAAATGAGATGGGAAAAGGGAGTGTTTTTGGGAATTAACGAGAAGAGTCAGGAGCTCATCATTGGAACACCGAACGGAGCGATCAAGGCGCACGAGTTCAAACGAAAGGGAAGTGAAGCGGAAAGATGGAATGTGAACGAAATCACCGAGATGAAGGGGTTACCTTGGCAGCCTGACCCCAACGCGGCAGGAATGGAGTTACAGTCTAGAATTATGGCCCCCATGGACTTGCCAGAGCAAGAGTTAACGGCGCCTGAGACGAAGCCGCTGATTGCGCGAGGAATAGCCGTAAAGAAGCACGAATATCTGAAAATGGGACCGACGCCGGGATGTTACGGGTGTAAATGCCTAGTTAGAGGCGACAAAGAGCATCAACCACATAATGCTGATTGCAGAGCTCGCGTGATCGAGTGGTTAAAGAGACAAGAAAGCCCAAACATACAAGCAAGGTTAGCCTCGGCCCAACTGAGACTCGAAGGTAAAAGCCGAGTGTCTGAAAGTCAAGATCAGGAATCAGAAAGTCAAGCGAAGAGACCGAAACTTAACGCACCACCTCCGCCGAGTGCCAAAGTTGAGGATGTAAAAGATGAGTGGGTGATAAAAGGAAACAAAGTTATCTGTCAACACAGGCGACCAAGAAGAGAGTTAGCCTTTCCCACCAATGGTGGATGCCCTGTCGATTGGGATAAAGTTAAACCCATGAGATTTACCCATGCCGTTCTCATCGACAGCGGTGAATACGTGAGCATGAAGATGCTTGGTACGGCAAAGAGGGAGATTATCAAACATGGGCAATGGGAAACCCCTTTAACGGTTACTGGACCGGGTGGACCGAATTTGAAATTGAAGATGAAGAAATGAAGGACCCACCAAGTGAACCG